TCAGTTGAAAATGGAAATCACAAGCATTAGCAATAAATGCATTAATACAATTCTGGAAGAGCAAGGACACTTATGCAAATCCTCTATAGAATTTGATATCCAAAGTATTATTTAAAATAATTTAAGAACAAATACAGATAGTTCTGGTTTTTTCAGTCTGAACTTAAGCTCTGTAGTTTCCTCTTCTACTAAAACATCTGATTGATATATTATTTACACTACCTAAGACTACAGTAATACACAACAAAGAAATTCCTTTCTGGAACTCCAAGTGAAAAATTTGCATAGCACTTATATTCAGAATACATTATCAAATCAAAGTTTTTCAAAAAGAGCTGCGGACTTGTATATTGCAACATATGATCCAAAGATGTTTATAAAGATGTTATTTGCTAAATACTGCTGGTTCAATTAGTGTACTGAACAATGCAATCTTATTAAATGCCTTTTACTCAGAATAGCTGAGTTTTTAGACTATCTTTATTCATACAATTACGAATATAATACAATTGCTAGATACAAATCTGCTATGACTAAAATATATAAATAAATAGAATGTAAACCTATTGGAGCTCATCCTATAATTACAAAAATAATAAGAAACATTTACAACTTTAAATTTCTAAAACATATCATATGTCTTTAAAGGTCATAGATGTGTTTCACTCAATAGAATTCTTAGAATCACTAGGAGATAATAAACAGATGTCAATAATACACCTCTCTCAAAAAATTGTTTTTCTTTTAGTATTGATAACAGAAAGTCATTTATCAGATATAGCCTGTATTAATCTCAAAACAATAAGAGAACTCAACTCAGAAATTCTTTTAGACATTATAAATCCTAAGGAATCAAAGATATCCTGATTACACAATAGGAAAAAGGCTAATAACAAAAGCATATTTGCAGGATAATATAAAATAACAAATCCTTTTGTACTAAATCTGCAATAAAAGTATATTTGGACTACACAGTAGAATGGAGAGAAAATGAAGACCAAAAAATCTTTCTCTTTCTATCCACTACTCTTTCTCATAACTCAGCTTCGACAGATATGATTATCAGATAGATAAAACTATGTTTTAATGAAACTTTAAATAAATTAACTGCTAAAGATACTTGGGTTATTACTGCTTTTCCTGTTCAAACAATGAAGTTGAGCTTGCTTCTATTTTAGAAATGTGTAATTAGTCAAGTAATACAGTTTACCATAAGTTTTATCAACATAGAATATATCTTTCACTACAAAAAAATCAGGTACCAACAAAAATTATTGATGAGGCAATTTTATAAGGTTTTATGCTTCAAAAAAGCACTTGATATATATTATAATCTTAAGCAAAATACATTTAAATGAATGTCTAAATATTATAAAAGATATTTGAAAATATATAAGCAAGAAATTGTAATATATATCAATTTCCCTCCTAACACACCACTTAATGATTATTATATCATGAAAAAATATATATATATTTTGCATTTAGATTACTATATTTAATAAGACAATATAATTTATTTTAAAAATATTAGACACTAGATTTCATAGATTTATTAGATTTATTAGTTAGATTATTGGATATTCATTTTAGTATTAAATGGCTTAGTTAAAGAGAAATAATCAAAATAGCTTTATATATTTTCAAATTAATATACAGTTGCCCTTATTAATATCAACTCCATTAATATCAACCTAGGATATAAAATAAATTTCTATATATTAAATGATATTAAAATTTCCTACTATATATCAACTTTAATATTTTTTTATTAATATCACTATCAATATGAATACAGTATAAAAGCAATCCAAATAGGTTAATATTAATGAAGAATGACTGCAATTAATTATGTGATCTGTATGCTAAACTGATAACTAATAAAATGGCTTAAAGTACTTGATATGCATTACAATCTCCCACTTATACATTTTCAAATATCTTTTATAATATTCAGACATTTATCTAAATGAAATACAGTTGACTCTCTTTAAATGCATTATATTAAAACCAAACTTTTAGCAACATATATTAAGAGAATAATTAAGAAAAATATATTTATAAAAATTAAATATATATATGGTCCCAGAATTTAAATCTGTATTTAGAGAAAAAATACATTTAGAGAACATGCATTTAGAGAGAGTTGACTGTATACAGTATTAAAATAATTGTTATATTAATAGCTGTCCTATAGGTGGACTATGATAATCCTGAAATTTGAATAAATGTATCACATGTTTCAAATGATTGGTTAGACAAATTGGTATAGAAAACTCAGATCAGAGGGTTTAATTGTGTAATACAAATAATAGGTGGGTTATAGGTATGGCATTTAGTGTAAAACTTAGTAATAGGCAGACTATTTAAATTAGGTGCTTAAAAGATGCAAGTATAGCTAAAATATATCTTTATCAGAATGTAGTGTCTTAGGCCTCTTTGAAAAGAGTATTATATAATTCTATTAAATCTAATAAAAGTAATAAGCCAAAGAGGCTAACCTTGGTTATAAAAAAAAAATAATTGTTATATTATATATAGATTATAAAGCAAAGTAAAAATAAAGAAGCTATAAAAAATATAATAAATGAAGTTTAAGTTAAAAAATTAATAAAAAATAAAAAAAAAATTATATTGTATACAGTATATATAAAGTAAAAATACTAAGATTGTTTATAAAAGCTACTGTATTATTTGTAAATATAAGAATGATAATAAAATTGAGTTTATAAATTGTTTTATAATAATAAAAAGTTAAGAATTATCAATTGTAAATAAAGTTAATAAAGAAGTAAATTGGAGTATATAATTTCTATAAAAACAATTTAATAAGCTTAATTTATTTTTTTTTACTTTAGCAATTCTTACTTTATTTTATAAATCAGCAACAAATTATAATTAAATATCTTAGTTATTAAACTTACATTATCTATTATAAACTGTTTTATATCTGTTCAAATAAAGAATTTCTCAATCTGTCTCATTATTATAATATAATACTAATAAACCAGAATTAAGTACTAGAGTATGACCCAAAAGTAATTTGTCTAAGTAAATATTTTCCTCCATCAGGATTTTTAACTTTTTGAGGATTTGAGCCCAGTATCAACAAATAGTTTTTACTGCTCTTATCAGAATCATCACTCTATAATAGAGTGCCACCAATCTGATAATACTTTCTTAAAAAGAAGTATAAAAAAAAAAGAAGTAAGTATAAAATAAGAAGAAGGTAAATAAAAAACAAATATATAAAAAAAATGACCAAATTATAAAAAAGTTAAAAGACTATTTTAAAATCTAAAAGAACTTGTCTACAGATATAAAAACTTGCTAACCAGATAAAAAAACTATCTATATGATTGTAAAAATCTATATATAAAGCTATCTAATATAAAAACAAACTAAGATATATTTATTTGTGTCAAAAGCTAAAAATTATACAGTATACATATAACTTCAAAATATTACTATAGTGTTCTAATTACAATTCTCATATAAAACTCAACTCAGATTCTCAAAGTCTTGATACATATTTGTCAGTTTTAATTTTAATCACAAAACTTTCTCCTCATATATATTTTGTTGTTTTTTTTTTATTCATTATATCACAACTCAAGACTTTCTAAGAATGTAAGTAATAAACAATATCGATCTTTTTTAGAGAAGATAGCCAAATCCTCTATTTTTTGTTAAAAATTTTAAAAAAAAGTGTGATGAGAAAATATAGAGATTTTCAAATTGTTTTTTGTTTTTTTTTTATTATTCAAAGAGTCTCTTTTATTTAATTACTGTCACAGATTAAAACGAAATCTGATCAAAACAAAATTTTTCGGTTTTTTAAAGAAAATTTAAAATTTTTTGTGTGATATTTTCTAGGTTCTTTTTAGCATTAGGGATAGGGTTTAAGGTTAGGTTTATTAATAAATAAGTATATGTAGATTTTATAGACTCTAAGGGTATATATAAGAGGTTTCTAGTTTCATTTTGATCAGATTTTATTTTAATCTGTGACAATTACTACCAAAATAACCCTTCTAGTTTAGATATTAAATATAGAAAAAGTTCACTAAAAACAAAAAAAAGCTTGACCCAGTCTAAAACTGCTTTTCTAATATTTGCTATTCGATGTATTACATTAAAGACTTTGTCAACAGTGGTTAAAAAAAACATAGATAGTTTTAGATAGGGATTACAAAAGATCAGTATGGTATAACTAACCGGATCAGTATTGTATAGATGTAATTTTAGCAAACCGTATTATACTGTTTTGCTTAATTGTCACATCTCATAAAAACTTGGCCGGTATTAAGCATAATTTTGGGCAGCACTAACCCTAAATTCTAAGGGATATGACAAATAATAAAAATAGTATATAAAATCACATCTATATCATACTAATCTGGTCACCTATACTATACAGATATTTGTTTTACCTTTTTAAATATTAAACTTTGAAATTTTTAATTTAAGTTGATTAAAAATGATTGGTCCAAGTAATCAATAAGCTCAATTTATTATTATTATTATATTTACAAGTAGTATTAGCTAAATTTTTTTATAAAAAATATTAGAATTGTTTATATAAATTGCATTAATTTATCATAAGAGTAAATTAAACTATAAAAGTAGCTAAATAGATATTAAATTATATACAGTATTTGTAGATATAAATTGTTGATTTTGTATTTTAATCTGTTTATTTTAAATCAAATAAAATATAATTTGAGATAGAGGTTAAGTAATAATTTTTTAATAAAGTTTAATATTGTAATTACAATAGTTATAATATTAAATTGTATTTAAGATAATAAATAATATAAATGTATTTTTTATTTTTTTTTATTTTAATATACCAATATATAATATTATATTGAATCCTTTTTAATAGTTGATATAACCACCCTTTTCATGATATAATGCAGCTATTCTTTTAGGCATAGATTCAAATAAGGTGTTAATGATATTATTATCAATAGTACTCCATATTCTTTTTATTTGCCTCATAGCTGATTTAAATCTTTAGCTGGTTCTCGTTCATAAAGTTTTTCTAAACGTTGTTTTATTATATACCAAATATTTTCTATTATATTTAAATCAGGAGAATATGGAGGCCAATCAAAAGTTTTGAGATTTCTATAATGGAGCCAATTTTTGGTATCTGTTGCTCTATGTTTTGAATCACCATCATGTTGAAAGATTATATCATTAACTTCTAAATCATGCTGTAATAATGTTCCAAAAAGATCTCTAGCTAAAATTACTCGATATCCTTCTGCATTTAAAGTATTTTTAATTTGACATAAGCTGCCAACACCACGAGAGGTAATGCAACCCCAAACTATTACACCACCACCTCTATATTTCATTGTTGAATCAATATAATCATCTACTATTGGATCTCCTGGTCGGATCCAATAAAATTTACGAAAATTAGATCCAAAACGTATAAATTTAACTTCATCTGAAAAGACTACTCTTTTCCAATCTTCGGCAGTCCAGTTCAAATGATCCTGAGCAAATTTATATCATCTATCTTTAACACTTTGTGTAAGAAGAGGTTTTCTAGGTTTTACTCGAGCTTTATAACCATTTTTTCTTAATACATTCCTGATAGTTTCTTTTGAAACATGTTTATTTGTTTGTGCTGTATATTTAGAATGTAAATAACCAGCAGTTGAACCTTTTTGGGAGGATAATATATTAAGTACTTCTTTTTCATCATTAGATGAAAGAAGTCATGGTCGACCTGATCTTTTTCTATCTTTAATATCCCAGTTTCTCTTTTTCTTTTTACAGTTTTAGATACTGTAGAAGATTCAACACCAACTATTTCTCCAATTTCACGTGTTGAAAAACAACCTAATTTTGAAAGATCAATAATTACTTCACGATCTGCTCCAGATACTTCTTTTTTAGATTCTGTACAAATTCTACGTTTTTTAATAGATTTTAAATCGGACATTGCAGATACTTGGCTCATTTTTATAAATAAACTATAGCAAATTAAAAAAAATTAAAAGTAATGAATATGAATACAATAGATTAAAAACTAATTTGAAAAAAAGTTGAACAAAAAATACTTTGCTTATATAGTTTTTATAACATTAAATTGTAACTATATATAGTTTAAAGTAAAAACTACCTTCCAATAAAAACATAATTATAATATATTAATGCATCTAACTATGGTTTAGAGTACAATTATTAGTGAAATCTAAAAAGGAAAATTATAACAATGCACTTTAAAATAAATAATCATAGTGAAGAAATAATTATTGAATTATACAGTAATATGACATTATACAATAATATACAATTAATTATAGAACGAAACTAAATTTAATGTATCTAACTATGGTTTAGAGTATCCCTTACACCATCAGGCTAATCCGCAGTAAATATAAAGTCCGACGTTGCTTAATAATAAATAATTATTACATACGTACGTATTAAAAAATATTATAATTTAATTATTACATATTAAATAGTTACGAAATAATTTAAAAATTGTGTTACGTATTATAAAAATCATTCCGAATAAATGCCATCCCTAATATGTATACAATGGAGGTGGTACCAGATGCATTATCTGTACAATTCGTGATCGGTGAAAATTTAAATACTGTATCGCATTTGATTATGCTAGTTAAATCTAGTTTAGTTTACTTTACCGGTCAGACTACAGTATTTGCAAAGAGCTTTTAACCAATACCACTTCTAATGGCACCTTATCTTTTTTAGTTTCTCCCAGAGATCCAACAAGTTCAATATCCAGAACTTGATAATATGATCGTCTCAAGTCTTGGAAAAACAAACCCAGATAATTTCTTAACTTCTTCCAGAGAACCAACAAAATAAATATCTGGATTCTGGTAATATGGGCCTTTGCAATAGAAAGGGCCGATACTGGAATATAAACAATTTTGAGATAATCAGATCGGCAATTCACAGTGCTAAAAATAAAATACTGTTGGCCCT